AGGTGGAACAATCCCTAACATTAAAGTTACTAGAATCTGGTAACTTCCGCAATTTTTGGGCAAAAAACATGCGTTCTCTCTCTAACTCACGGGCCCAATGGATTGCGATACAGTGACTGTATACCTACTGTATAGAGGCAGTTTGGTCATACTTTGGTGTTGTTTTTTTATTGGTAGGTGGGATATCCGCCATATTTTAACCAAATAAATCGGGTTGGCGGAAATTAACTTGGAATCCAAGGTGATCAAGTCACAAACAGTTGTGGCAATACCATTGTAACCATAGAAAAATGCCAAAATCTATCAATTCAATTAAACCGATCAGCTCAATGAAGAATATGGGAAAAACATGGCGGATATAGAGCATATGAGTCTTTATACAGTCACTGTTAATGGATCGATATTAATTACAAGGCAAAAATTTTTGGGCATGCGCATAACGTATCGCACATGTGATCACCTAGCTTCTTCTTTAGCCAGCAAAATCACAGTTTTTTTGTTTAAAGGATGCCGCCTGAAAATTTGTTGTAGTGTCTAAAAAAAGCCTATAAATAGCCTATAATTTTGTGATCTGAATTTTTCGCCTTCGAAGCAAATCTCACAAGTGGTCAGCTAGCTTCGTCTTTAGCTAGCAGAGCCATAGTTTTTTTCTTTAAAGGATGCCACCTGAAAATTTGTTCAAGTGTCCAAAAAGGGCCTATAATCAGCCTATAATTCTGATGTATTTCGTCCTTCATTTTTCTAAGATGGCTCTGCTGGCTTGTGGGACCTAATGTTAATGGTGAGTTGGTATACATAACGAATTTTTAAAAGGCCCATGACTCTTAAGTGTAAGGATTAGGGTAGTTTGTGTAGTTAGAGAAGAAAAGATTTATATTTTCGATGATGTAGACGTATAGAGATGTAGAGTTTTATCCGTCCGTCTGTTCCTCGTCCAACTCGACAACGATGTCAAACCTTCGCCAATCGATTTCTACGAGTTCAAGGATCAGGTTTATTGGACTAAAAGTCTTGTCAAAAATTCTCCTACTGAAAATCGTAAACGATTCTTCGTATCTTATTTGTACTCTTGGGTGTTTCTTCACGGTCACAAGCGTTTTACTGTTCTCAGCTTTTGTTTCATGGAAAATGTCTTTGTGAACCTGACAATTAAGACTTGTCTTATGATGTTCATTTTTCATAATAAAACGCTGCGCCCACTACAAAACCAGTAATCGCTGCACCTACCGACGAACCGAGAAATTCAGCCCTGTGATTATGATGTATCACTAACGTTAAACTCAATGCGCAGCTTATTTTCTATCTATCTAACCGGCACGTTAAGTTTAACCTTTCTGATACATCACGGGGTGAATATTTGGTAGCAAAAGGTACATGTGCCTTTTGCTTTGCTTTTTGACTCGGTCTATTTTACAAAAAAAGCGCACTGTGGGGGGTTAGAACCCGCGTCATCATAATCGGAAGCCAGCGCCATTGCAGTTGCGCTCCCATTAAATAATAACCGATTATAAAGCGAAAAACTAATACTTATAATTAACAATAATCTTACATTTATTTTATTTACCCTTTAAATGTGTATATTAGTTAATTTCAAAGACACATTGACGAAGTTATAATGCCATATTCCCTTTCAAATGGACAAATGCGCTTTAAACAATTGCGATCGGGGCGAGCGCGCCGAGCACACCTTCGGCTGTCGAGCGTTACGCGTGACCTAGGACTCCTAATATTGTCTTTACCACCTTCATCAAACCGAAGCTAACAAGACCAGGCAAAGCCGGCAGGGCATGCAAGCCAGGCCGGAAATAAGAGTAAGACTGGTATCCAAATTCAAATATATAAATAAATACATCGACTGACAAGTGCTCTCAATGCCACGTACTAGTCGCGTAATTAAGTGTTGATGTAGACGCCAGTAAGATAGTAGAAAACATCTCCCCCAAAATATTTCGTCATCCCGAATGTTCCACCAGGAATATTATCCTCTTTGCCCACAAAACGTGGAATGATGGTCCATAAAAATTCTCCCCAGTATATTTACGCAAGCACTAGCAAGTTCATCCACGGGAATTCCAAAATACTCGCTGTCGTAAAGTACTCCCCATGACCAGAACGTATTCCTCTCGGGGGTATTCGACACTCGAAATTCGCCCACGAATACTGGGAATTTTACTCAAAACGTGAAAAATCAATCCACACCAAGAAACTAGCAACGAGCTTCCTATATAGGGAAACTCGCCCCATAGAAAATTCACGTTTAACAAAACCTCGCTACAAGTGCAATTAAAACTCGCCCTTGAAATAGGTGTTCTACTATTCTGTATTTTCCTTACGAGCGAGTCTTCTTGATAGGCGTATTTAAGCTACTAAAGAGAAAAGGAGGTGACAGCGAGAAAAAGAAAAAATTATTATGTTTTTCTCTAAAATGTTGCAGGAAAAAAATTCTTCGAAAAGATAGTGGTGTGTTCACGAGTGTACCAGTGTACAGAATGGGGGGGGGGGGGCACTTGGAATAGAGGAGGAATAACGGTGGTTCTCCTTTTTGCAAAATAATTTTTGTATGGTATTCAGAATTATGAAAAGTTTGCTACCAATCTAGGTACTTTAAATTTGTGGTCAGTGTGCATGGTCAAGAGGGTCGTACTTTTTTTAATGGTAACTACTAGTTTTACTTGTATATCACTAAAGAGTATACTTTTTTGGATATAGCAGTACAAAAGGTGTGCACTTTAAGAATACCTATGTACAAAAATAGTGGTCGATATTAATAAATATATGCCCCCCTTGACTCTGCAGACGTACGCCACCGAACACAATGTTAAAGTATGTAGATTTGCAGCAAACTTTTTATAATTTTGGATAGGTACCATAAAACGCTTCTTTAAAAAGATGCTGTTTTGAACAGATTCAGAGATCCAGACAAAATTTCCATCCTGTATATTAAAAACAATATACCGGATGTGCTATAATTTTATTGGATGGAGAAGCACCGTGCTCCCTCTTCCTTTTCTGACACCCCTGGCCCCGCGGAGTAACGTTGACACTGGGAATCGAACAGTCTATACGCTTTTGTTGAGTAAAATACGCTGGTTGTCCGTTAAAGACCTATATTTCTAAGTTGGCATTATTTCAGGTTCTATATTTGCAAATTTCTTCATGACATTTTTCCCAGTTTTCATTTTAGTAAAGCATCGCATCTGTACTGTTTTTGTTTAGCCCCGAATCGAAGGAGAGAGCGAGTGTAGGTATATCAGTTCTATTCCAGTCGTAAATATTTCAGCCGTCACTGCATCTTCTTATAATACTAATGGTGGTTTGCACCGACAAATTTAAGCAGAGCTTAGCTTAAGCGAGGCTTAAAATCCATGGTAACGATTATTGAGACAATGGTTGCCATGCTTCTTAAGCTACGCTTAAGCTAAGCGCCGCTTAAATTTGTCGGTGCAAACGGCCATTATTGAAGTATCCAAAACGGCCATTATTATGTACAGTTCCTGTAACAGATAGCTAGGAACCATTTTATGAAAATATCCGTGATTAACGAAGGTCCCAATTGATTACAAGAAACTTTCTTGGATCCTGTGCGAGTATACGTGTCGAAGGAGCAGTATGGGCGATAGACCAAAAATGTTTATTTTCTTGGTTTTAAAAAATATTTTCAGTTTTTAAAGAACAAATCGGCCTTGACGGTGAAACAGTAACTATTTTCTTTTCTGACAACCTATGCCTTTCACGATACATCCATCTTTGTTTAAATGTAGGCATGAGTGGTCAAAGTAACCGATTAGTACGTATAGGGAAACCACAGCATCCAAAGAATAGCAAGAACCTCACCAAGCAAAAAAAAAATAAGAAGAAGAAGAATCTAAAGGAAATAAAGGAGTTCAAAACTCGAGGGGGAATTGTCAAGTGGGAGGAATGTAAATGATATTAAGATACTGAAAGTTCTGACACACGAGAAAAATCCGAAGTACCTGAAGTTTACAAGCAATCTGAAGAAAATAAAAAAACCTGAAACATCAGAAAAAATGAGACATTTTCAGGGATCTGAGGAAGCTGAATTATCTGTAGATTTGAAAGAATGTTTAAAAAATCCACAGTATCTGAAAATGAACATTCGGGGAATGTAAAGAAATAGAAGAGTCCTAAAAATCCAAACAATGTTACAAGAACTGGAAGAATCCGAAGAAATGGTCAAGTTTCTGAAGGGAAACCTTATTGTTCCAATTCGAGCACTCTGCACCACATTCGTTTAATGGATTACACGTCTCCCAAAATATTCCTCTTATAATTACAAGGATAATTTTTTGTACAGTATAAAAGGATTTCAGTTTCAGGATTTGTACATTTTTCGATTCATTCAATTCTAATTATTTTTAGTTTTCGCAGGAAATTTGGAGCACCCATTGCGATATCCTTTAAGTCACCTTTGCGTCAATAAAAATTCCGATACTTGTATTTGTTTACCACGTAGAACACACTGACACGTGTATTAAAAAAATGTCGCGTCACACCTAGTTACATAATAAATTGTTATTCATGTTGTCATACGGCAAAATACAGAATAGTTGCTCTATTAGTGACCAAAAGATTGTAAACTATATACAAGTACTAATTATTCTGTATAACCAACCAGGAAATTACTAATGTATCTATAACCCAATGTCGCCAATCTACCAGTTTTTTTCCCTATAATTTATAGAGCTGGCGACTAGTCGTGTAAAGGTAAACATACCCGTATCATACATCATCGTGATTCTAAGTGATGGAAATACCTTATTTGTACACTCATGCGGTTATCCCGCAAGATGAAAACTGTTGTCAATTAATATAACTTGTAAAATATGATGTGCGTCGAGGGATTCGCAATAATTTAAAAAAAATGTTTAATTAGAAACTTAAAATGACAAGTATAAGGTGTTTACATTTGGAAAACATATTTTACATTCATTTGCATATGTGGGCTTAGAAATTTTATTTTTAAGGAAAGAAAGTTTAAATATCGGAAACCTCATTTACTTATTCGTTTTTTACCAATTATGTATAAAACACAAAATTTACTATTGCCATTAATTAAATAGCCAATTTCAGGTTATTGATTTATCGACATCGATTTCCCATTTAATTGAGAAGGTAAGGCCTTTCTGAATCGAAAATGTGTAACCACCTGTTGTGCGCTGAGTGTTCGCCATTTTCTATAATTAAAGGTAATTAGGAGTTAGAGGCTAATTTCACAACGTATTAATTTATTTTGCATGCAACTCACCAAGAAGCTATCGTACATTCAAAGCTTAAAAAAATCTGAACCATTTTATACACAAAATACTCACGTTTTCCTTCACAGGATCGAAACTTGCCCCCATAAATTTTTTGTCTAAAGTCTCCGAAGAATTTGAATAACTCCGAACAACATAGTTACCGTTATCAGTTTTAACATCAGATTAATTCAGTACAAAAAAGTCTAATTATGTGGGAGTCCAGGAAATAAAAATGGCTTTGTACTTAGCCGCTATGGTATACGTAAATTAATTTAAGCGATTTCGCGAACATCTCGCTCCTTTCCACCTGACATGGTATACGTTAATAGGACTTGATCTACATAATTTTTGTGTAACAACTGAAATAATTTAATTGATCTTAATCACAAATTGAGTTGTCGTTGCGTGGAGGGTTATAAAAGTAAATTAAGACATTCTTTTTTAGAACTGTTCAATTGGTACTCAAAACTAGATCTAAAACGTAAGTTATAGGGTCATAAATTAACATTAATGAACTTGATAAAAGAATCTATACGAAACCACTTTTACTTTAGTTGCATAAATGAGAACTTACTAATAGAACTAGTTGGTGACTGTTACTGCCATTGTAGAATATCCAGGTCTGGAATAGTTCTCCAACTGAATTTTGTCTTGCTCCATGACCGTAGGCTCATGTGTGTGCAGAATTCAGAAGCTACAAAATAAACGACACATTGCAACATAACATGTCTAAGCTTAAGACATGATGGTTACAAAGAATCTGAATCATTTAAAGGCGCATTATAAACAACCTTGATAAGAGTTATGCAAATATAGCTGGTAATTTAAGAGATAGGGATTATACGTAGATATTAAATCTTAATTTATAGATCTGTTTTTTTGCATATCAATTCATTTTCCTTATTTGTATAATACAATGTATTTCTGAGAGCTCTAGATTTTCCCTGCATTTCACTTACGTGTCTGATGGCTCTTGGTTCATAACAAACCTAAAAAGTTATGTTGCTACAAATGTAAACAAAACGCGAGGAATTTCAAAACCATTTGTTTATAGATTCATAACGATTGTTTATTGTCAATAATGTCAAATGCCGAATTTGTTTTGGATTAATGTTCCTTTAATTAGCTCTCGACGATTACGACGTACCGCATCCATTGGGAAAGAAACTTGACAATATATAATAAGCTGTAATTGGCACACAAGCTCTTGGTGGGAAATCACTAGTGGAAGCGTAACATTTACTGCAGGAAGATGATTGGTTTTTTAGCTGTAACTTCACTTCTTGTACAAACACGAATTGCTATTGTACAGTCGCTTGCCGAACAGATCTTGCTCCCAATAGAAGCGATCATACGGAAGCGCAGAAGGGCCATACAAATTTTAAAAAAATTATTTTAACAATATAATCTGGAACCGGGACCAAGAAGTTTTCTTATACGTTCTTACTTTGATAGTCCCCTCACCTCTTTTGATGTCAGCACTTCATCAGTGTCAACGATAGAAGGAAGAGTGAACGGAACTGGAAACTCAACCCACAAAACCTCAGAGGATTTAAAATGTGCACACTGTAACGGCATTATGTGGTAATGTTGGGCAATGTTAATGTATTTAAAGCTTCCCGTACTACGCGGTTACCATAAAAGCTACTCTTTACGCGATCCGAGTGGCGTTCATACGACTTTAGTTTAACCTGAGATTCACATGTCCACGACTACAGTGCCCTCTATCGGTAACCACCCATTTTGTATTGAAAGCATAGGGCTAATAGCAGTCGCATGTACTATATGGTCTAAGGTCTCATCCGATTGCCATGAAACTTTGGAGATGGTTGCACGTACGCCCGTGAAATTTTCTCGGTCACAGCGCGTTCACACCTCCAGATGCAGTATGGCGCTTATGGACATATTTACCAAACGTGACAATGAGAGCACAAGGAGATTATACTTAAATATAATCATATGTGAGTTTGGCATCATTGCGATGAGGAACAAGGATAGCGTTATCGAAGAATTATGCAGATTAGTAAGAGAGGCATTTAGTCCATAAGACCCCATACGGCATCCGGAGGTGCGAACGCAATACAGGAAAACATTTTCCGAAATTTCCACGGGATAGGGAACCCGTAAAAATCAGGATTTTATGTATTAAAGGCGAAAAGAGACTTGACACTTAGAAAGTCTGTTTCTTTGAAGGCGCTCCTAAAGAACTTCCCGAAGTTCCCACGGGAAAGGGGAAAACGAAAACGAGATACGGAAAAATTGGGATTTACCAAAGGTGAACGAAGTTCGCTGGGACTACTAGTTCTAAATAAAATCAAGCAAGAGATAAAAGACCCACCAACCCCGGAATGGTTTTTTTTTCAGATTTTTTTATTGAGTTATAATGTTATATGTGTATGGCTGTTAGTATTCTGTTTTTAGAGCGAAAACCTGGAAACCCTAATTGCACTGTCCTTGTATTTACTCGTTCTTGGTCTTAATATCACTACTTTAGAGAAATAAACAGGAATTTCCAATAAAAGAAGGAATTTATTATTATACATATTTTAAAACTGTTACTTCATGGTCAGTACCACTATTTCTAGTGCCTGGTGGTATTTATAATATTATGCCCTACCCTTCATATAGAAAAAGGAAAATTGAGTATTTCTGAGATTAGCCAAGAATTTCATTTTTTAGGTTTTTTTTTTTGAAAATGAAAAACATTAAACCTCGTGTGTCATCATTTTCAGATAGTGATGGTTATTCTGTATCAGTCTTTGGACCGAATTGGACCGACTGGGCCGAAATCAGTTTGGTTCCCGGTCCGATCCCCACTGATTTTTTTGGTCCGAGGCTCGGTTCAGAAGATCGGACCGGACCAGGCCGATTCCAATCCTAGTTGCCATAATTTTTGAAGATGAACACTGCGTCTTCGCTTTTTTGGTGGCGCATCGATTCTTGTTTCAAATCGCAGTGATACACCCAGATTTTATCGCTAATGATAGCTCTTGAACAAAATATCAAGATATTGTTTTAAATCATATATAACTCGCCGCATATACGGCCAGCTTACTCAGGGTAAGTTGAAAAGGCATGAAAACCTACACAGCTGTTGATTCGTAGTAGACATATAATTTCCGCATCGAATTGAGCACCACCCCTGCACAAAACTGAGAAGATACCCGGGAAGTAAATTTAATACGAAAATACTAATATATTATCCTTCAACGACAATTTTTAAATTTAAAAATGTAAATTAAGTTTCCCCTCATTTCCCGCGAATTCAACACATTTACGTTAAATTTCTCATAGTTAATTCCCACAAATCAATAAAATCCCTAATTCAATCTGATCGAATAAATTGATTTGCAGAATCTCAAGCAAAATCATATTCCGGACAAATTTCGCGTCGATAACAAGTACAGGTAACAGTATTAGAACAAGTCTTATCCTGAGCAATTCAAGACGCTGGCGCAGAAAGTGAGCTCAATTTCAACGTTCAGACCGGAAAACCTGATCAAACCGAAACTCTTATGGTATCTAATTAACTGATTAATGTCTGAAGGACCTTGTCTACTTATAATCCGCTTCAGTATCGTTTACGATTTTCAAATGTGCACTACTTCGGAAGGAATGTAGCGTACTCCAACAAGATAGAGCGTTCCAACTTCCAACTCGATTATATATCGACAGAGATTACAAGAATTGCGGATCATATACTGATGTTAAAACAGTTAATTGAATGCAGTGGCATATCTCCTTGAAGAGGTTGAAGGTTAACGAATTATAACGATAAAAGTATACGGAAGATGTCGTTGTTTCGTCTCTTCAGAAAGAAGCATCTAAATATTGTCAATCTGCAGTCTTTTGAATTCTTCGTTGACCTAGTGATCTAATTCTGATAGGGTAATTGCATGGCAGCTGTCTGCAGATGTTGTGATAAGCCACAGGTGTCGGTAATGATACGTTCAGATGGTTGTAAAGGAAATTAACTCGGTATGCGAATTCCTAAAAGACATACATATGACGAAGCACCCACCCATATCTCCATCTAAGAAGAGGATTACTCGCAAAACAATGAATGTATCCCAACAATTTGCAATAGATCAGTTCGAGCCCAGAAGTATTCCTAAAAAATCTCCACATGTACCACATTGATTACAAAATGGCCGTACTCACGTAATCAATAAAAAACCACACTTAAAGCCCCCGCCACGCATTGCAGGACACCTGTCTAACTAAATCCGAATCCAAAAAACATAGGTTCAATCGCCGGAGTTATGCTAATTGAACATTGCAATTAGAAACACATGGTTTTCGATTTTTAAAATTGCTTGACTCGACCTCAAAGCGTAATTGCTTGGCGTAGAATGGAGAAAAGGAAATTGAAAATGCACCGAAAAGCCTGCACGGATAAAATGCACCGGCAAGTGGTACCAGGTAGCGTAATGGCTAGGGCTAGGATTTTAATGACGTTAAAAATCAGCGAAAATGCAAAATAAAAAATGCAATTATGAGTTAAAAATCTAGCAAAAATGACTTAACAATTTAAAAAGATGACATTTTAAATAAAAAATTAAATGAAATAAATTTATTGATGGAACTGAATAAGATTGCAAAATTATGTTAAGAAGCAATTAGGTAAGATAAGACAGGAAATTCATTGGTGGTTCATTTCCACCCTCTGCAGGCCAGTCGTAGAAACTAGGTATGTAAGGTACTGACTCACTTAGCGCATCCCAAAGAAATTTAATCCCTTAGTGGGCATTCGTTTGTGGATGACTTCAGCACGTTCCAACTCCAAGAAAACGTTAACCATGCATTTAGCTTATAATGGAGGTTTTAGGCTTCATTTATAAACAGGTAAAGATACCCGGAACGACCGAGAAAAGAAAAATATTGCATTATTTTTTAGAAATCTAAGACTGCATGAAAAATAAAACTTTAACAAAGGTTTGTAAGTTCGCCAAAAGAAATAGGTATCGTAAAATATCAAAAAAATTAGCGCTATACCTGAAAAATGCAAAAAAATCAAAGTAAAATACACAAAAACACCAAAAATGCTAAAAATACCGTAAAAATTAGTAAAAAAATTACCAATTCCTCAAAAATGGCAAAGAAAGCAAAAAAATCACCAACAAGTCACTGTCATTTGATTCAATTTATCCTGAAACAGTTTATATATAACAGGCCAGAATCGCGCATACGCAAGTGTGTCAAAGTAAAAAAAAAACTTTGAGTTTTTTATATTTTTCCAAATTAGGGCTAAAGTATTACATCCATTTGAACCAAATTTGGTACATAAGGTCTATAGACACTTTACTAAGAACTAAAATATTAAGTCAAATCATAGAAGTCATAATTTTGTGATTTCATAAATAATAATGACTGCATGCGCTTTATTGCTAATACATAAAGAGATATGATTCTATTAACATAATATTTACATAGGTAGAATCGAATCTCCCTATGTATGTTTATGTGGGATCACACCAAAGTAATAGAAATTTTAGATCAGATTTTTAGGGAACACCTTAACCAAAACCACTCCAAAATTAGTGCATATTTTATTCTCTGTGTGGGAAAATTATTTTGCAACTTCAACCGGACAACACCAAACAGTCCGAGTTTCACTAAAATATAGGAATGTTGCTAATGTGTGTAAATATTATCCGTTAATCACATATGGACGTGATTTATTCTACATGTTCCTAAAAAATATTGACCCACTTAATTAGATTAATGATGCAGCGAAAAACGT